ATAGAAGGAAACGAGGCGTATTTACTAGTTACGTGCTTCCGTACGATTTGGGATATGCTTCCGATAAGCATTTGATAAGAGATCTGTGAATTAAAGCCCAAATCGTACTTGTTTGTATTCATTTAATAAACTATGTACTTGCAGAACTGCAAAAGATTGCATTGATAAGCACACATCAGCTTCAAAATATAAGCAGTGAGAACCGGTGGGGGGGGGAGTGGGAATTAAACATCTTTTGCCATGAGAATACATTATGCAATAAGTTGCTAAAATTTTGTTTAATTAGTTTTGTGTCAATATAGAGTATAAGATTCGTCATTTTGCTTAAATATTTGTTCTTTGTTATAGTTTATTATTATACTGAAATTTTGAACGATAATAATTTATCTGAATAACTCTATAATTTATCTAAAGTTTATTTCCATGCTAAACTAAACTGAGCTCTAAACTAAGTTTTATAAATAATAGTATCAATTAATAAGTTCAGTATTATTAGTATACAACTATATTTTAAAAATTGAACTTTTTTACAAGTTTATTTTTTAAATTATTTTATTATCAGTGTCGTTTAATGTGAGGTTTGAGACAAAATATACTTTAGAGGTAATGCTATTAAAACATTTTTTTTAGTAAAAAAGTGCACTAAATCCATCATTTACTTTCTTGTGGAAAAATAAAGCAGATTTTTCCGTGGAATAAGGTTTCAATTTAAGCAATATATTTCAGCTGTTGAATTTTTTTTTTTTTGTAATTTTATTTTTTCGTCATCATAAAGAACAAGTTTTATAAAAGACTTCCGAAGTAATTTTTTTTTCCTATCATAAGAATTCATTTGTACTTTACACTGCATTTATTTTTATATTTTGTCATAAAATCTTACAATATTTCAAATGTTTTGTTTTTTTAAAAAAATAAAGGCATTTCAAAGATATTGAATTTTAATGTTTTTATTATCATAATCGACAGCAGTTTAACCTTACAAATAAATTTTTCAGTAACCGTTTGCTTGAATTCCGAAAATGCATTTCGTGGTAAACTCAAGAAAGTGCTGAAATAAAATTCGATCCCTTCTTATAACTATAAAATTTGATCATGAAAAAAAATCAATCAAAGCTAGAATTTTTCCTGTGTATTTATGTTAAATACTGCATCTACAAAGTTTTAGGACCGAACTCTTCAACTAATTTGAGTATACATGCCAAATAATAGCACTGATTATTTACGTGTCTCAATATGTTTTCTTTAAAATCATCTCTGTAAGGAAAGTAATTTAAACAGAATTTTTTCTTTTGATATTTGTTATTATATGTTCAAGCGCTTAAAAAAATCTATGGATAGGACATTCGAATCCTCAAACCGCATGAATCTCGAAAAGAATTCAGGTTCTGCAACTCAAATGTTAGTCATTTTTATGTCACTTGACCTTTTTCGAATAGAAACTAAAAGTTCCTTCAATATTTAACTCAAAACGTCGAAAAGATTTTTTATTGACATAATGCGAAACATAATGCGATCAACGTGCCACGATCATCAATATGATGTCGTGGTGGTTTTGAATGCCGCACTTTTTAATTTTCTGGAAAGAATTCAGTGATTCCTGTTTTTAGTGTTTATATATTTTATTTCTTGAAATAATCCTTTATGATTCTGTATTTGAACAATTACTCAAATATATTTTGTTAGATTATATTGGTAAAGTAAACCTGAAGATTCGAGAGTTTTAATTATTTCTTCATTTATAAACTTTATACAGTGATTTATAAAACTGCCCTTTTATATCTCATTCGTATTAAATGCAAATATTAAACATAACTTTTAATATAATGAAAAAGTGAAAGTTTTTTGTTCTTTTTATTATTATTATTAAGGCCCACCAGCGGCCGAGCGGTAAAGTCGCTGAACACTGGTAGTTCGGTCCGAGGTTCGAATCCCGCGAACGGGCTGGCTGCATGGGCGCTTTCGTGGTTTTCCCCATGTGTAACGTGTATACGAGCCAGTTTCCCTTAGAAAGTCCTCCACGAAGGCACCCCTCCCCTTAGGCAGATAGCCTTCGAGGCTTTGCCATAATCACACACACACACTTTTTATTATTATTATTATTATTATGTGAAGGATACAAAAGATTCGAGAATCTTTCAATATTCAGATTTAGATTCGATAAAATTCAGAATTCGTGATGTCTTCATTGAAAACAGAAAACCTAGTAAGGCTCTGATTGAAGTAACAGATGGCACTCTCCTATTTCTCTAATAAACTGTTGCTGGAGAAGAATGATGGTGCTTTACATATATTCCATCTTCAAAACAGAAATTTCTTATATAAATAAGAGAAAACTTGATTTGACAAGCAAAAATTCGATTTTAGAAACTTCGATTAAAGATCACGGTGGAATTTTTTTGATCGGAAGAGAGTATTTCACCGTGAATTTTTGCTTGAAGATTAGGAAAGTCTTGAAGGAGAGTTAACTCTATAATCTAGAAAGAAAAATGCAACGCATCATGGAAAAGAATTCATCGCGTTAAACTGTAAAAATGCGCGATCAGCATATTTTTATTGCCTCCTCGCACAGTATAATTATCATCAAGCTTAAACAAGGCAAAATCCTCCTAATAATCGTCCTCTTACTCTCCATATTTGTATTTTCTGTTCCCAAAAGTGAAATCCCGAAAGTAAAGAATGCATTTTGGAAGCACCTTGCATTAAAGAATGCAATTTTGGCAGATTATTTTTAATTCGGGCAAATATAAAAGAACGTTTGAAATGATAACTTTTACAAAATTATCTAAAAGTTATGAGAGCATATTTACTGATACGTACTGTTAGAATGTATATAGGCTAAACAACATTCTTCAAATATCGATTTTCTGTAAGCATAGTCTTAATTTATATATATATATATATATGTGTGTGTGTGTGTGTGTGTGTGCGTGCGTGTAATGAAAAAATAGAAAAAGGCGTATTAGCAAATGCAGCACGTAGACGGCATACTGAAGAGGATCTATACTAAAAAGGAAAAATTTCGATTGCGTAGAATGCTAATACATAACGAATAAGAAACTTGGCATTCGAGGAGATTAAATTCCATTTTTATTTAAATTCACATTTCCGGCCACAATTCACTTGGTACTCTAATGATGCCTATTTTCAGAACATTTACATTTTGACTACTATTGCGATAGGAAGAGAGCATAGAGAAATGAAATGCGTCCAAGCAGCAATAGAGATAAGCGAAGATACAAGCGAAGTGCGCATTTATCCAATATGGCAGCTCACTAAAGAGGAAGGTTTTCGTTTACGTTAGAAAGGTTTCAGTTCTCAGAGTTTAGATTCCGAAATAACTAGGTCATCAGCGTTACGCAGGCTTTGTGGCATAGATTAATCTAGAACTGGCGCAGTCCAGAAAGGTTATTATTTTTTTTAGAATAAAGAGGAATTACTCGGATCAAAAATGAGGAATTAAGAGGCTGTTTACATTTTTGATAGATTTGCAATAAGACGAGAGCCGCAGCCGTCTCTCGCTACCTGTCGGCCAAGCTGGCCAAGCTGGCAGAGAAAGACTGCGTAATTTTCAGGATGAAATCTTAATTCAGACTGAACTAGTTTTGGTTCTTAGTGATTTTGATTGGATAATTAATACTGCTGTTAAAATTATTATTGCCTATTTGAGTTTTATTATGAGTTATTGTTTATTTGAATAACAATATCAAATTTAAATAATTATCATTTAATAACATTTTTATCTTTTTGAATTGAAAAGACGTCTGAATATTTTCTAGTCGTTTAAATCCAAGACAAGGAAAAGTATAACTTTGTAGTTTCTATTGTTATGTTTGTAATAACTTTAAATTCAAATTTAAATTAAATCCAAAATAAATTATACTCGTATTTATATATTTAAATTTAAGTTTAAAGTCTTTTTAAACTTGAAAACTAATTTAAGTATCTATTTTTCTTCTTTCTAATAAGAATATTGTCTACTCCAAGCAACTGTTTTCAGCCAAAATATATAGATTATATAGATTTCCAACAAACACGTGATTAATTTTTGCATAATATTTTAGAATAATTATGGATACTATAACGCACAGAAATTTTCTTCACGTACACAAAAAATGATACGGAAAATAGTCAAATCAGAGAGTTCTGTAATAATAATGTTCTTCAAAATTTAGATATGAATTTTTTATGATAATCTGAAATCTTTCGGGGGTAAACGTCTTACAGGCCAAATTCAACTGAATTTAGAATTTTATTCGCTTCCGCCTTTACTGCATAACTACCAGGAATGATATTGCCGCCTAAAAAAATGATAACTGTTATGAGGGGAAAATGGTTCTATATGCAGTTTCTGGGGAGGGCAGAGAGTTGGTTTTAGTTCTGAAATCTGTCATATCTAGCTGACACGTGTTGTTTGGTTGATTCGTACTGCTGATTCATAGATCTATACTATTAAGTAACTGCTTTATTATTTGGAAATTTTTATTTAGTTATGTTTAATTTTTGTAATTTACTTCTTCGAGAAATCAAAAAGTAATAATGAATGCCTCAAAACAACTAATTATAGAGGATTAAAACCCATTCCACGGAAATATTAATTGAAATAAGTGATTTATCTAAAATACTTAAAGTAATTAATTTAGTTTACTTTTTTATAAATGTTTCCATTTAGGAATATTGTCAGATCAGCGGTTAATATAAATAAACGCTAAATGTAGTTAACATATTTTTCGAAATGAAAATGACTTCTGCTAATTTTACTCGTTTCTTACTTACATAGCTGCATGAAAACTGAGTTTTATGCATCATGAAACAAAATTAGAAAAAAAAACTAAATACGATCTCGAGTGCAGTAAAAATTTCTATCTGAATCCTGAATGCAAACGTTTCTTGATACTAGTATGCAATTGTAACAGGGATATAAATATTTGTCGTATAACGGATAACTTCTGAGTATATCCGGATTAATAACGGATAATAAAAGAAAAATGTTTAAACCTTACCTGTTCTGCCTTCTGAGCATATTTTCACTTTTAGTGACTGTCAAACGACCAGTGTTTCTAAGTGCTGCTTTTGAAGTGTAAATGGCTCAAGTTTGGAAGCTTATCTGAGTATTGAAACTGCAATTCACTTGCTTTTCGCGAGCGAGGAATCTAATTTGGCTTTATCTTATCAACCGGAGTTTCGCCTTTTTTTCTATTTTGTTGCTACGATTGTTCGTAATGAAAGTTCATCTTTCATAAATATATATAGCTCTTTTCTTTTTCTTGTCAGTATTTTTAAAACTTTTTGTCAGTATTTTTCGAATGCTTAATCATTTAACAATATGAAATGTCCTCAAAGACACTGAATATTTTTAACCTGAGCACCCTGTAAAGAGGTAGTACCATTTTACGAAGGCATGCTGGAAGGAGGAAGAAAATACCTTATAATAACCCAAAATTGCGTAATAATAGGTACATGAGAACCATCAATACAGCCCATTTTGAAAGATGTTATCGAATGGCATGTATAAAATATCTGTTAAGATATACTATTTCTACCATCTGTACGTTTCAACTTACTTTCAGACAGTGTTCAGTAATGATTTCTTTATCATTCAACATTTGATATATTTTGCATTTTCTATTTTTACTTATTTATTTATTTTTTAATGAATGAAACGCTGACAGACAAACATGATTGTAATCAGAAAGATTTAAGGAAGGAGAAAGAAACATGAATTTATATATTGCTAACCTCATTGCTAATTCACTAAAATGAATGCTTTTCATATAAATATTGACTCACAATTGTATAATCTTGTAGCCCAGAAAACAAAGTCACGCGTTAGGACGCGTGGTTAGCGATCAACTGAGCAACTGTAGCTTGAACTTTGAGTTGATTAGATTTAACTCTTGATTTGTGTACGCACATATTGAAAGGCCATCTTGCATTTACGTAAATAGCATGTCAAACTATTTTCGGACCAAAAACTTCGTCTGTAAGTTCCATTTAAAAGTATGTGAGAACTCTTTGCCACTTGTGATACATTTTATCTTCTCGACTTAAATTTCAAACATAATCATCTGTCTGTCTAGACCAGTGTTTCCCAAGGTGGGGGGGCACACGTCCCACAAGGGGGAAATTCGATTGTGAAGGAATGTGAAGGAATTCGGAAATGGACTCATTCGGAGTATAAGTTAACCATATGGCTACTCTCAGTCGCTACTCGAGTTGAGTAAACCTCCAGTATAAGCAATTTCTGTCCGCCATGTTAACGTTACAGTACAAGTACTGGTTAAATTGTGTCGGCAATAATCATTTCGCTCTATTTGTTTTGAATGGCGCGAAATGCTAAGTGCGGGATCTCAGTTTTTGCAGAGTTTCCCAATAACGTTTAGCATTCACCGCTAGTGTTAATTTGAAATAAAACTTAATTAACCATTAAATTGTAAAAGTCTCGTTGTTTTAAAAAATATATACGTTGTATAAACATAAATTATATATAAATGGTATGTAAATTCAATTGGTAATTTTTATTAATTTCAAATTTACAAGCATCATTTTCCAGAAACATTTGTCAAATGAAAAAAGAATATTTCTTTGCGGTGAGGTAAATGTGCCGTATATATTTAAGTATGCAGTTTCAGTCTACGTTTACTCCAGTTCATATTATAAGGCATTTCTCCCGCCTTCTCCGTGGTTCGATTCCCGGCAAAGGGGTTGCTAATTTTTCATCTCTCCAGCCTCCGAAAAAAAAATCCTAATGCCTCTACAATATTATTTTTTTAGCTTTTAATTGAAGGAGCATAAGAATTTTAGAAAGGCTTTGGTGGTGCATAGCACGCAAAAGTTTGTGAAACACTGGTCTAGACCTTCTAGTTAAATTGGATTGCGTTTCGTGAATCGACATAGCGATTTCTGAATTTGCAAATATGTGATATAAAACTTACCAGTTTTTGCCATATCTATAAACGCCGTAAGTACTATTTCAATTGGAATGTGAACTTCGTTTCTTCTAATTTCATTTGAAAATATTAACTTAAGATCTCTATCAAAAATATAAGTATATCGGTTTCGCAGAAATTATTTTCTACATCTGTAAAAAAGGTTGCTTTATTTTTTAATACGACGCTGTTGAACAGAAGTAATATTTTATGTATGCTTTAAAAAATACATTTAATGCTTGAACAAGGCTAGTTTAAATTGTACAGTTCCATTTAATATTTTTTAACATACTGAAAAGTGTCCTGGTTGGTTTATAAGGTATTTCTCCCACCTTCTTAGCACGCCTTCGTGGTGTAGTGGTCAGCACGCTCGGCGCGTATTCGAGAGGTCCGCGGTTCAAGTCCCGGAGAGGGCCTTTCACATTTTTCAGCTTTCCTGCTTCGAAATAGCCTAATGTATCTACAGGTTAATTACTGGCTCAGGCAACACAAGAGAAAGTAGTCCTTCCTTACCAGGGATACAATGACTGTGTTTGTTTATGGGGGGGGGATTCTAACGGCTTATATTAAGGTTACGTGTAAAGATAACCACTAAAACTTTAACCATTGCAAGCTAAGCCCGTTTGCTGAAAATTTAGGGCAATCTACTGATGTTCATTGGAGATATTTTAGGGAAATTCATGACTGTTTGAAAATTGAACAGATGAACAAATAGCCGAGAAATGTTGGAAAGAAAAAATATTTATCTACGGATTGCTGAATGCGTAAAATATATGAGCATGTGATTATGCTTGAGAATAAACGCAGTGAAATATTTTAATATTTGCAAGCAAATATCGAACCCAGGAAACTGAGTTCTTTATTCGAAACTGAGTCCATTTCAGAATGTACGGTTCCGAAAAAAATTTTTTAATCTCAGAAATTTATTAAAACCTTGTTATCCACTGACTGGCAACTGTTTTTCGAACATACTATGCAAATAAATTTTGTGATAGGAAATAGTAATTGGGACATTTAAAATGAAATGGTATAATAATATTTCAAATTTTAGAAATGAAATTTCAGGTAATGGTATTTAAGCTGAAGGTTTTTTAATCCTTAAATTTTGGCTAAGATCCGCGTATTAAAATTGCATAAAACGTGAACATGAATTTCGTCAAAAAAGTAGAAATTTTATCACAGTCTATTAATGGATGCGATCAAATTCTCTCACTATTACGCAGAACTGTGAATGGAAAGAAGTTTTACAGACTTATTTTCGTACCAGTTTTCAAATTATATGCCGATTAATTTTACAATATTTGCATTGCTATAGGATTTTGTTATAAGATTCGGCTTTTGTTCCAAAGGTATCGGAAAAAATAACCTTGAACTAAGAACTGCTGAAACATACACCGAAGTATTTGTGTTTAAAACACAGTACTTGCTTGAAAGTCTAGACTATTTTTGTAGCTACATAAAGTAATCTATTTTAATAAAAACTGCCTATAATTATAGATGTTTTGTTATTTTGTTTTCAATTTAATGAAATATTGAATAAATTTTAAGAAATTCAGTATTTTTCGCTGTAATTTTGCACTAATTTTATGTCATTTTCCTCTTTATTAAAATAGTTTTTTTTAGGTAACATAATTTAATAATGTAATGCTTTTAAGAATTTTTGAGATAGAATCTTAGATCTCCATGCATATTGAATAAACTATCTGAATTTCCAGGAAGCAAAATTTTCCGGAAAACACGAATACTAACCTTTTTTTTATCATTCACTGCTGAAACACATGCATACCAGAGCTATAAAAAAGTTCTCGGATTTTATAAAAAATTAATTCTGTTTTGGCTGTCATGTCCTTTAAAATGCTGTTATTTTGAATCTGTACAGCGATAACATCTTTTTTTTTTTTTTTTTTTTTTTTTTTTTTCATGCCTCAAAAGCACTATGGAGATTTTTTCCTTCTCTCTCTCTCTCTCTCTCTCTTTATTCTTTTGGTGTATATGTGTGTGTGGAAGACGGCTTGCAATTACCGTTGAATGTCGAACTGAGTTCCCAAATATCGTTCTTTTATTTAATTTTTTTCAACTTGTAGAATAGAACGATATCGTGAGGAACTAGGTCGAGTTAATAAGGAGGATGGAAAATAATACTAATGTAATTATTTAGCAAAAACTGCATAGTAGTCGTTAGGGATACATCGGAGGGAACAAAAAACAAATTTCTCGAACGTGATGAGGCGCGGGTTAAAATTCTTTGTTAAAATCTTTTCGCAAACTTTATAACTGATTGAGTGTTTTCATGGTTTGTTAGCAAATGTTATTTTTAAATGAGGCTTTGAATTCTTTCGACATTTTCTGCTGTTTTGCTCTTGCTTCATAGCCTTAAACACTCGGCATCTTCTCAAGAAACTTGATTGATCTTGAAAATTAAGAAATATTGAAATAAAGTTGTCCGATTTAAAATACGATCACCATACGCTATACGAAGCTTATCAAAAACTTCAGTAGCAGATTTACTGAGTTTCAGACAGAATTTATGAGAATATGTTTTGCTCTCCTTTACGGGGACCACAAATAAATCGAAACAAAGTTTTAAAAAAATGTATAAAAACATTTGACACTCAACTCATCGATATTACAGATATAATAACACAGAATTATGATTTAAACCTTCTTTCGTATGTACTTAAAAAAGGAAGTCGTAACAATATCAATTGATTAATTTTCTAATAGAAGTAAGTCACTTGCAAGAACGCTTGATTTTGATATCAGTGTGATGCTTGTAATATTTTGAGTGTTCTTATTTCACAAGGGAATACCAATGAAGTATTTACATGGTTTTTCTTGCCACAGAAGATGCGAATATGACAATCATAAAATTAATAGATCATTCATGCATGTATGTTTCATTTTCGTGCAGCTATTCTTAATAGTGTATTTTTTTTCCAACTTAGTTTATTGTAAGAACGTGGTATGTAATACTTACGTACAGTGTATAAGATATAAAATATTATTTAGCTGACTGTTCATATCACTGGTAAGATTTTCGCAATAATAAATTAATAATATTTGATGTAAAATATGATTTAATTAACCGTTTGGCTTTGTCATTAGTAATAATGGAAACTTCTCTAAGGTTTTTGGTCACTAATAGACTAATAATAATTTAAGTTCCACCCATCTTCCCGTGTTATTCAAGGCTCATTCTGTTTCATTCAAGTTGAGCATATTACTGCTTTAAATAAATTTTAGCTTTTAAAGTTGTATGGAATGTTGTAAGAAGCAACCGCTATTTTCCCTTTATAACCTTTTGACTGTGGCTTTCTATGAAATTCGTCATGCTTTCCTGCCTGATTTTAAGTTCTCGAACCATGTTTACTCGCACTTGTTTCTGTTAGGGAGTTAATAATCCCAGCATCCATCTCGCAGACACACATCTTATGTCCTGAGAGTTATGCAGAACTGTAAATGGGCTATCATGTGAAATGTGCTACATCGTCGCCAGTCCATCCATTGCCACTCAACCATCTTCTCGAATAATGATAGTATCTATATTCATCATAATGTCGTTCAGGAGTATCTAAAACGCTTTGCTTTGATAACGAAGCACAGTTTCTTAAAAATGCTTGAACTACCAAAATACTGTTGATTGCGGTAAACTATTTTCACTGTATGCCTGTTGTAACATTTCGTATGCTTCTGCAGCAGACTTTTGAACGAGCGCAAAATTTCAAGGATGTATGCTGCTCAGCACTATAGCGCTGATTTCGGGTTTTAACGAAAGTTTTCCGCTACCGCAAATATCGTCTGCGCAAACAGTTCGCGTCAGCGTGTTTAGTTATAGTTTGTCAAGCGATTTTTGGCATTTGAAAGAAAGAGACTTGCTTTAGAACATGAAGCTGTAAAAAAATATCGTTATCAATAAGACAAGGTATCTGAAACGGAACTATCACGCTACCAGATTAGAACCATCATATACTTCCAGTTCTGTTGCAAAACGTCAGCTAAAAAATGCCACCAAATAATGTGTATAGCCTTAGGTACTAATGTTGCATCATCCGATACTGTGAAAGTTTGGAACCCAAAGCTCAAAAGCAAGGAATATGGCAGTCAAGAAGCAGCGCGCTTTGGCTGGCCTACTGATGTTGATGAGGCCCGCCTGCGAGAGCTTGTTAAGGAGTTAAACGTTAGTGCCATGTCCATTAGTCGGACTATGTATAGCATAAACCTGACATACAAGTTCAGTCGGTGGTCTCCGAGTGAGCTGACTCAAGCAGATAAAGACAGACGTGTTCGGGCCTGCACAATCTGCTCGAATATCAACGCAAGGACAAAATTCTGGGTCACTTGCGATGAAAAGTGGATTTCCTTCAACAACACAGGCAAAAAAATGGAGTTGGTCTGCGCCCGGTGAGGCCGTCGGCAGCGCCGCAGAGCGCAGTTTGTCTAACAAAAAGATCATGCTTTGTACCTGGTGGGATTGCCATCGTATTAGCTACAAACATTATCTGGAAAAGGTAAAACCCTTGACAGTAAGGATGTACAGCGAGATGCTAGTCTATGGTGAAGCTGCTATCGAGTAAAAACGTCGAACTAAGTTCCGGCGCAAAAAGGTAATGTTCCATCAAAACATTGCAAGACCATATATAGCCCCGATATCGCTTCTTCGGAATTCTACCTATTTCACACCTGCAGCTAAATCTTGCGGGTGCTATCTTCATTCTGCACAGAACGTCCAAAATGAGGCTGATCTGTTTTTGGACTCTGGCCACCAAGTGTCTGAGCCGAAGGCTTTGAAAGACTACCAAAACGTTGGCAGGAAATCATAGATTTATGTGGTGATTATGACCCGCACTAAAGTTACTGCTTTCGTTTTTTTCTAACTTAATTAAGAATGATTTTTGCGGAAAACTTTCGCTACATCGATATAATTCATCCACTTGGTTTGAGACTGCAGTTCAAATGAGTCTTAATTCGTGCATTTTTCACGAAGCGAAATACACTAAACGGAAATGAAGTTGAAAAGAAAAATGACTTGGGAACTTGACCATCTGACGCAGCTGTGCACTGTAAAAAAATCTGTAAGGTTACTAAGAAAACTCATGGAAACTGGGATGCCATGGGTTATTTGAGTAACAGAAACAGGTGTTTTCTTTGTAACATTACAAGAGTTTTGCCTGTAATGGTTACAGATCTTTTTCTTGTAATATCACAGCATATAGTTATGTAAGTAGAACATATTTTTCTCATGTAAATTCCCAAACGATATATCTGTAATGGTTACAGATTATTTGCGTGTAATATTACAGCAAATAATTATGTAAAAAGAACATGTTTTCTCATGTAAAATCCCAAACTATATCTGTAATGGTTACAGTTATTTGCGTATAATATTACAGCAATAATTATGTAAAAAGAACATGTTTTTCTCATGTAAAATCTCAACAGATATATCTGTAACCGTTACAGGTTATTTGCTTGTATTATTATAGCAAGTTATTATGTGAGTAGAAGATACTTTTCTTACGTAAAATTCCAATGGTTGTAGCTGTAAAGGTTTCAGATTATTTCCTTCTAATATCCCACTAAGTAATTATGTGTGTAGAATATATTTTTCATAGATAATAATACTAAAGGATATGTCTATAAAAGTAATAGATTTTTCTGTTTAAAATGATGATTATTATAATAAATATATTGAAATCAAGATGTTTTGAGTAAAACAATATCTGCATGTGTATATCATTATACAGATATATGCAAGTGAAGCATAATAGTTTGGCTTTTTAAATTAGTCAATTTGACCTCAGATAGCATTAATTTAAAAGATGCGCTTTCAACAGCAATATTCGTTTTTTCAAAAAAAGTAACATTAGTCTGTTGCAGAGTATTTTTGTTTTATGAAGAGAAACTTATGTCTGATATTATTGAAAGGCCTTTCATATTATCATTTTGATTAATTTAAAAGTTCAAATTGATATGCTTCTCCTTATATTTGCCCTGTAAAAATAGCTGAAAAAAAATAGTATGTTTTATTTGCATGTTTTAGTGTCAGTTAATAAGATATGTTCTAGAACTTTCTTTTTAGTAATTTTAGCTAAAATAGACACATGTTGCTTTAGATTTAACTATATGAGTAAACGTGTTGCATGTTGATATGATCATATTATTACAGTAAAAGACATTTTGTGAAATATTTCTATGAAGAACTCATAACAGCTGTTCTTCATATTTCAAAAATATATTCTCTCCTTCTAAAAAATGACATTTTCAGTAAATTAAGAATTCAACATAGCAATGAACTTCATTTTGTTACTACAAGGAATTCAAATTTTGTTCATAAGCTTGAATTACAACGTCTAACTAATCTTTTTATTCTTATCTGCACTCAGTGTTTGTCAACAGTCTGCTATTGTTTGAAATAATGCATAACTTTTTTACTTACCTTCAAATAATTTTCTTTGAATTAACAGATAGAAGTCTTTCATTAAAAACCTAATGTCATGCTTTTTGAATAAGCATAAAACTTTGCCAACTGACCTTAATTTTTAAAGCCTTGTTTCCCTTAAAATTCTTAATACAATTATGCCTTTAAGAAATTTATTTCTAAAATTAATACTTTAGTTTAGCTTAAAATTTAATGCATTTTAATTTTACCTATAATTTTTTACAAACATAATATGTAATAAATCTAAGCTTAATATTTACCATTTCGAAAGTGATACTAAAAAAGTATTCCTAGTTATTATAAATTTCGAGATTCGCATACAAAATTGTGAAATAAACATGTGACAACAGAAAACAAACTTTATGCTCTCTCTATATTACAGCATGTTAATTAAGAAGTTTATTGAATTTATAATTTTATTGTGAAGCACTATAAAGAAAATAATATGCTAATTAAAATACAGAAGTAAAAATAATTTATTATTTAATTCATAAACTTTACATAAAACCTGAAAAAAAAAAAAGAATTAATTAAAAAATAACATAACTATAATTTAATAAACATTTCATAAAAATTCGTTTCGACTGCTTGGAAAAAATGAATGAATGGTTTTCCCCTCTTTGCGCATGTAAACCATGTTCTCCTAAATAAAGAAAAAAAAAACATTTCTTTTAAAATCATAATCATGCTCTTAAAAAGCTTATGAAAAAATTATTTTAATATGATGTTTTAAACATGTGTTTATATAATACTTTTAATCATATTTCTTTATAATATCTTAATTAATTAAGAACAGCTTAAATTCTTTAAAAAATTGGATTACAGTGAACCGTCTCATTACGACAAGCTACCTCAGTCAATCACTTTTTAAATTTAACCAACATTCCTCATAAAATAACTAATTAGTAAACATAACTTCTCTAGGATGCCCACTATCATTTAAAGACCAAAATTTTCAGGAATCAGGTATAGCTAGCTTAGGGAAGGTTTATTGTACAAAAAGAGCCAATATTCAAATATTTTCATAAATGAAGCCACCATAGTTATTAAATATAATATACAGTATATTTATATTCAGAATTCAGAACTTGAATAAATTTCTCGAACTGTTTTAGCATTCGAAAAATATTATATTTATTACCTTAAATTTCTAAAACAATATTACGTATTCGTCCAAAGGAATCACTGGGACTCGGACAACATTTTCTCCTAGCTTTCTTTTAGCACAGGATTCTGAATATGTTTTAATGATTTAGGTAATGTTTGTCTTCCTTAAGGCGCTCACAAAACAAGTTACCCTAAATGTTTTGTCCGCATAGTGGTCATTTTCATCTTACTAACTGATTTGCTAGTGGATTTTGGGTGCATGGCCTCTCATTGATGAAACAATAATAGTGAACATCTTCAAGAAAATGGGGATATCTAATGCTCTTGATGCCATATTCCCACTTATTATTTACTAATTTTATCTTCCGAAAATTAAGAGGGAAAAATTAAACGAATAATTTAATTTCCAAAGGACACAGTCACAGTAGGAATATAACAAATGAAAAGTAATCATGGATAAACTACTACTATCACAATATTATTTATTTAAAAGAAACATCTATTTCAATAAGAATACACATAATTGCAACATCTAATAAGTTATCTTATTTCTTTTTTATAATTTGAACTTCTGTCATTCTCATTGTTGTTCTTGCAAATCTTTAGGCCTCAGATCATACATAAATAATTAGAGAAGGTTGTGGTCCGATGCTTGCTAGGGTGAACATTCAGCTGATATGGCAAAATTGCACAGTGAATGGCAGTTGGTATTTGCTTTCACTATCATAGATCATTGTGTATTAGGCTGACATAATATTCAACAGTTAGAAAGAAAAATTCAACGGGCCTTAAGTGTGCAAAAGTTTGCCTTGGTTAGTATGACGAAAACAATCATTATGTTGATAAATCCATTTTAAAATCTTGGGATATTCATTTTCTGAATGCATTAAAAGGGGGAAAATTATGTAAATATTTTTTTTTAACTTTTCAGAATCTGGTTTCTAAAGCTGGGTGGGGTGGAATATGCAACGCAATACGGTAATTCTGAAGATCATTGCTCGTGGCAGTACAAACTAAACGGTGATAACTTGCATGCTGTAGAAGAAGACACAAATTGCAGTTCCAGATGCATTAAATGCTTTGAGGTCTAGGAAGTAGCAGTGGGCAATACTAAGAGTGAAATTCAAGGTATAGGGAAGTAGGAATGAAAATTACTTTTATCAGATAACTTAAATGGTTATGTTACTAAGCGTTCTTATTGGAATGTAGGTTTCTTTTAAATAATAATACTATGATAGTTACCAGTAGTTCATTCATGAATATTTTTGATTGGTTATGATCTTATTGTAATCACATCCTTCAAAATTAAATTGATTGCTTAATTTCCCCTTGATTTTCATACTATAATATAAAAGGAGGAAAAAAGTCTGCAAGTAAACATGATAACTTCCTCTTTTTTTCTCTCTCTATATATAGACATGTATCTTCGTTTGCAACAAATAAGCAAAACAAATGTGACTTTTTTTCTTTAAAAAAATTGTGTAAATAAATAGGATGAGAATTAAGTTCATTTCAAAGACTTATGACACATGAAATATACATGATCAAAATAAATTAGAAAATTAAGTTCAAATAAATTTTAAGCTAAATTACGTGTTGCAATGTAAGTTGCAATAATTCAGTTGTAATAATTAATACTAAACAAACCAAACATCATATTCCCATTCTGCAAAGTATAAAAATTCTTCTGCAAAACTGAAAAAA